TTTTAACGTTATTCACATTCACATACGCCTTCTTGAATGAACGCATGCATGCCAATTTCATGTTCTCTCTGTCAAACGTGCGGATAGTCTGTTTCAAGATCTCGAAAATATTTGGGCCACCCGAATCAGAATGGTAAGGTACTTCAATTTTCGGAGAGGAGGGAAACACCTTAGGAATCACTCGTTGAAGGATTAGCCAGCGCACTAAGGGTGAGGAAATCTTGAAGGTGCCAGCTTCTTCCCCGGGAACTAAGACTCCTTCAGCTGTGAGGAATAACGCTAAATCCATTTGGTCGTCAGCAACAGGTACAGGTTCAATATTCGATAAGAAATTTGATCGAAAGAGTTTCATAGCACGCCTAGTATCAGTATCATCTATTAGAAGGGCGTCCTTCATCCTTGAGAATGTCTGGTATTCGATTATCTCATCCCCCAAAGACATCATGCTAAAGCGTTCCCATATGCTAAAGCTGATATGCTTCTTTTCATCTAGCCTTGACAATATCTTTCGAAAGATCGCACGCCCACAAAGGCAGACAAGACCAGCGTGCCTGGTAAAAATAACAGAACAGGGTAAGTAACAATCTTAACAAAGGTATTCTTAAATGACTCTAATAACGTACCCATTTGTCTGCATATGTATATCCTCAATAACCTCTTGGTCAATGGTCAGTCTGTACTCGTCCGCGAACTGTTTGTACAGGAAGTGCACTTGTTCCAAAGTGAAGTTTGGGTTGCGAAATGGGTCATTGTCGTTAAAGGGTGACGTAGTTAGATTATTCGATCTCAGATTCAGAATACTAAAGGGCCCAATAGCCACAACAGACCAGATAGCGTAGTTTTTTTTTGATGCTTTAATAGCACGCAGAGTCTCCAGGCATGATGATTTAACGTCTTCACTCGCTCTATACAATTTATCGAATTCATCGATAAAAAGAACAATGCGACCTCTCCAATCGCTTTTTTTAAATGCCATATCGAAATCATCAGCAGACTTAATAGTATTTAATTGAGAGTATTGGGTAGCATCAAGGTAAAGATGGTGTCCAAGTGTCGACCAGAATGTGTCCACACTTTCTATATTTATCTGTTCAAGAGTTATGCTGTTTCCAAAGAGAAGAAACAAAAAAAGTCAAATTATATTACAACGTGCTTAGTTGGTTTGAGCCAGAAGCGAAACTTACTAGATGCAAATATAGCGTTCAGACTGGCCCTGAAGTTCATAGCGTTCGTTTTGCAACTGATCTTGAATTGCAAGCACCCGTGTAGACTTTCCCGAGGCTCGTGGCCCGTATAATGCTACAAACTCACCCCGATGAATTAACTCAAGAAGTGGGCCATTCCGTTCTGTTGGGTCCGCATAATAGACTATAGAGCGCTCTTCTCGTGTAATCGCACTATTTACCGTCCACTTCCTTTTTTTCGGTGCAAACGTAACTAGAAAAAAAA